AGCACTCTTACTAGGCTTTAATTGGAATTATTATGACTGACTGAGACATCAAGAGTCTGAGACAATTCTTATCAGAATCAGCGAAGCAGTCAGCAAATGCAACTCATCCCCAGTTTGGTGGGAATTTTTAACGTTGTAGATGGCAAACGAAAGACTTAAACGACAAACTTGGCGAGGCGTTGTTGCGTGCGAGATGAGCAAGAGGCCAGAGCGAGAGAGACAAAAGATAGCGAAGGGGTCAAGCTGGAAAAAGTGAAGAAAAACCACCACCATCGGGTTGTGTAATTGGAACTGCAACTTCTTAAGGCCAACGCCGTGCACGGCATCTTATAAGAAGCTGAATACGAAATTAGTTGAATTTTTAATGAACATTCACATTTTGAGTGCATAATTTTTGCTCTCCCTCGCTCCCTGTGTCTAGTTGGACATTTGAATGCGTCGTTGGCTTGCGGTCGAGCCGTAGGGCCCGCGACAGGGGACGGCGGGGCAAGGGGCAACGTCAGGTGGTGGGGATTGCGTTTTCAAAAAAGTTCCCAGGAGCTTCCACTGCACTAATTATCTTGGAAAATCAGAGTCTTGACTTTAAAGCCGGCTGCCGGTTTTCACACGCTGTGAAAATTCTAAGCATACAATGCGTGGGAAATCGCCAGCCGGTTGTGTGGGAGCCCAAATGGGGTTGCATGCAATCATGGTAATAAAAAAACAAATAAATAAATAAATAAATACACTCACTAAAAGATAGTACATATGTATGTATATATTTATATTATTTAATTTAGCTGCTACGTGCTCTACCAAGTTCATAAATTCTGATGAAGAAACTTGAAACTTAAATTTCTTCTGTTATTGATTTTATTTCTATTGTCAATGGCTTTTGAATCCTTACGAAAACTTTTCCATAAAGCGATTGTTTCCTTTGACAGACGCTCGTACAGGGCAGCAAATTTATTTCATTGCGAATATGACTTAACTCTTTCATCTTTCCAGCTCTAGTTGAGGCAATGTTGGAAGATTGTAATTGTAACGAACCTTCGGCTTATCCCGAGTCTAGGCTGGGCTAGTTACAGCTGACTGTGACTAATACTTGATTTATATTTGAGACGTAAGGTAAATTTTCTTGAATATAAGTATGATTCGACACTTGCCGCTGCAAGGTGGACCTGCCACAGGATTGCCGAGTGTAGGCCCAGCGTACTAGGTGCGCTAGGTGCGCTTGAACAATGTAGAAACCGCCAGGATTTGGTTCTGTAAGCCCCGGTGGTTCGCTCGAATATACAGGCCACTCCTACTATTTGACTCGCCCACAGCACATCTAGCTGCGTTTCGCTCACAGTGCACTTCTCTTACGCACGGCTACGTGAACTTATTCGCTCCTGTATCTGCAGGCCTCGCCTAAGCTGCTGGTGTTGTGCTCGTCCACTGACGATCCCGATTGCCTCTTATCCTGTGAGAGTCGTAGCAAGGATTCCCTCTGGAAGTCCTTGCTGTTCCCACGATGCCCTGAAAGTCCTTCAATGTCCTTATTTTCCACTCGCGTTGACTTTTAATGCTTGCACTTTCACTGGGCTCCCATCTTATCACCTTATATATGCCGGTGGCCTTTTATAGCCCAGCCACAGGCTCTCTTTCGTGCTGTAACGGGGCCTGTTCGGCTCTGGAGCGAGGCCTTTCTGCAGCTCGTGTCCCAGAAAACGGTAAAGTGATGTGATTTGGGGTGACGCCACTTTGCCCCCAAATTGCGTGGCCGCCTCTTACTGTAGGAGCGAAAGAGGCCGACTATAGTCGGACCTTGACCCCTTTCCAGCAGCGAGGGTCGCTCCTACAGTACTCGCGTCGCATGAAGGAGCAACATGTACATATTGTATATGCACGTATATGCATATAAACGCACAGCAAATACGTACATTCATATGTATTAATACGTGCTCCTCACATAATATATAATATATTCAAAAATGTATACATCATAGAATCCAAATTCCACGCCTGAATAGTTAAGTATTTATATAATAATTTCTTTTAAACAACTTACTGAAGAGCCAAGCTTTTATATAATAATTTCATTCAATCTACTAACTTTGGCTAGAAAAATAATCGATAGTAAAGTATTCTCTCTGGACTCTCAATAGTATCACTCTGGTTAGTACTATCGAATGTTGATTGAATTCTTGTCTCTCGATTCTCCGATGAATTGGCGTTGCAATTAATTTCATTATAACATCGACGCTGTTTCTCTAGATAACTTAGAGCAACTCATGGAAGCAATATTATCATCCGGTAAGTAAGTTCCCAATGCTTAAATTTTGAATGAATCATGACACTTGCTTATAATTCCAGTTCCAGTGTTCTCTTAAATTTGGCAGTGCTTTTAACGACCCCAAAGACTGATAAGATTATAATAGCTCGCGAAATTAAATAAGCTTTCAGTGCACTGCAAATGAACATGTCGGAAGGTTGACTTTTTACTTGTTTTCTTCTTTATAGCCGATTATTGGAAAGGAAAGTAGTTAGCCCAAATGGAAAATATAAAACGGGTAGGCCAAATGGAAAATATAACGCAAGGTTGTTGGAAAGGAAAGCAGATAGCTCAAATGGAAAATATTACGGAAATTTCTTCGGGCGAAGAGGTAAATTTCAATTGAACATAAAATACAGTTTCATCTTTATAAGAATTTTTACAGTTGTTGGAAGTCCTGCTGACGCTAAACGATAAATACGAATACAAACGCCCTCGAAATCAGCGCATTTGTGTAAACAATATATTTGAATTGAGTTTACCTCAAATTCATGTTATACTTCATATAATTAAATATAAAGTTATCAAATATGTTGAACTTGATAATGAGCGCATACTAATCGAATACGCAGATGATCGACAACAATTACAGCATGACGATTACAAAATGGAATCTTCTCCTTTTATAAGAAATGCACTCGAAGGGATCTTTCAGTCAGCAGAGGTACTTCAATACTCATCTATATCAATACATATTCATGCATTATGCTCTGCTTCCAATTCCTTTTTTTTTTGTTGTACTTCCCAGACAATGATATATAGGTATGACTCTCGCTTCGTATATTCGCATCTGAAGCATTCTGTTCTAGAGGTCATATCCGCGCTCAGCGATATTTTGAAAGCGTAATATATGCCACACAATCTAATATAAAATATATTAACAGAGATTTTAACTATTTGATTACAGCAAACTAGATGAAATTCCAGAACTCAATGAATCACTGAAGCTTAAACTCGGAGGAATAGACTTCACTGATTTTAAGATATGCAAGGTAGATTTATCAATCTATATTACGTATCCTAAATTACGTATCCGTATCCGGACAGCTTATATTTGTTAATACAGGCACAGATGTGGAATTTTTTCGTCGTCGAAAAATGTTATACCACATGTCTAGTCTATGTGTTGGTTAATAATAATAAGAAGAATTAATTGGTATATATTTTTTCAAATTACGATTATTCTGTAGCAAATTGGACGCGGTGGATTTGGCATAGTCTATAAAGTACTATGGCACCGATCCGTCATGGCTGTTAAAATATGCAGTCAAACTGAGACGCACAAATTCGAACGGGAGGCTCGACAGATGTCCCGCAGTGGACATAAGAATATTGTACGTCTATTTGGAAGTTGCTTTAAAGGCGACTGCGGATACTTAGTTATGGATTACGAAGAGTGTGGATCCCTCTATGAGTACTTGCACGACAGGGAACAAAGGGAGTATACCATGGCAATGGCTATAGACTGGATGATTCAGTGTATTCAGGTTCATTTGGATTCATTAGAATGACAAATAACATTATGCTTGACCTTCACCTCCGTTTATAGGGTATTAACCACATGCACTCCATGAAGCCAAGACCGTTGATTCATCGTGACCTAAAGACTGCCAATCTACTCTTATCCCAAAATTACAAGAATTTGAAAATTGGAGATTTCGGCATTTCGACGGATCTGAGAACAATGATGTCGAGTTTGGCTGGCACTGCCGGCTATACAGCCCCAGAGGTTGTATTAATCGAAATATTGCATACAAATCAATACAATCCAAAATTCATACATACACAGGTTCTCAGCGGAAAGAAGTATACGGAAAAGTGCGACATTTATAGCTTCGGGATTGTTCTATGGGAGGTGATGGCGCGCAGGAAGCCATTTCATCACTTGGAGAATCAAACTGCATGGGCAAAGATATTTGCAACGGACCGCGGAGAACGACCAAAATTAAAAGACATAATACCGAATTGTGAGAAATTACAACGTCTGATCGAAAATTGTTGGGATCAAGAACCGAAGAACCGGCCCGCAGGAACACAAATTGAGCTGAAAGACATTCCATGCCTTGATATTATAATGCGACCCTAAGATAACCATTATTTTTATATATTTCATATACTCATACAAAAAATTATATTTATTTAGGTAAATGAATTTAAAGATAATTATTTTAAAGTAATTATGAAATTGATTGGTCTTGAAAAATTACCTCTAATATTATATATTTGTATATTTTGAATTTATTATTTGAAAATCTTATCGACAGCAAACAAATGTTAATATTGCAGCTAAGTTTCAATTGACTGTAAATTTATCGAAGACACAAACCTACATAACAAGCTGGCAATCGTTGCGTACTGGTGGTAAAACGTGGTAACGTAACAGACGAGTTACGCAGTCGATGGACGCCGTCGCATACGTTAGCAGTAGCTGCTTTAAGCGACAGTAAATAGAACAATATCTTTGTAGGTATGTATAGATATTGCATTAATATTAGAAGTAAATGATAGTTATTTCTATTTCAATTATTATTGCACTTTTTTTTTTTATAAGTAGCGGCTTGAATAACAAATTGCAAACTTGAAAAAAAAAAATTAAAATTGTGTTTTTATTTGTATATGTATATTTTTATAATTTATTAAATAATTGAACATTTCTATGTATTTGATACAAAACGTCATCAGTACAGATATGCAGTTGAGATGTACATACAGTTAGATAGAGTGCAAAATGTTTAGATACAATAGCTTATCTATAAAAAGAACTTGCAAGACCTTCTATTTGATATGTTTAATTAATAATTTAAGTAAACGGAATGAGGTGGCATAAGATAGAAACTAAAAACAAGAGTTTGCATATTTTTACAAAAGAAATGCATAATAATTAATATGAAAGAGGGTTTGGTATAAGAATTAACAGCTAAAATAGCCAGAGAAAATCGAATGTATTGAGGAGTGGGAATGAACAATAGGTAATTAACTATAATTTCTAGTTATATCAATTATTGCATTTATAATTTATAATTATTATAAATATATGTGTATTTTTTTCTTTTGTTTGTTCCTCTTTATATATATGTCTTCACTAGTTGGCTCGTATAGTTCGATTTTTGTTCATGTTGGTCAGCATCAAAGATATATACGATGTTAGCAGATCGTCCATTTTATAGCCCAGCGATGTCTCGCAAAGGAGCTTTGAGCCACGAACCAAATTCCCAATTGTCATATGGAAATATGTATTACCCGACGACCAGTTCGAGATGCGTGTAAATGGATGTGTGACCAGTATATCCTGCAAAAGTGGACAACAATATGAAATATATAGCATATTAACTGTTTACTTTGTAATCTTCTTACCTTCGTTACTGGATGTATGAGACTCACGCCGTGCTTATTAATGGCAATGAGCAACATTTCGGGATAGTTTGGCTCGGTGGTTTGCTTCACCTCAAAGAATGCAGAGCCGAAGGTGGGCCATCTAAATACATAATAATATAAACGATTAGTTGAACAGGCAAATTCAATCAACACGTTAAGTGCATTGAAGCTTTACCTGTATACGATCTTAAGGAAGGCAACTTTGGCATCCTCAGAGCTCATGCCCCCATCCTGATTGTACGAGGCAACAATGGAACGTTTCCATTCACTAGTGCTTTGCATCTTCATAATATCAGAGGGTATCAATTCGCGTAGCATTTGTCTGGAAGGAAGCGATTACCATTTTGAATACACGTGCTGGATAAGGGATACTGGCTAAGCACTTACGGTATGGCCTGCAGCTCCTGTTTGTTTTCACCGAAGCGAACACGAAAGACAAGCGCGGCCAGCTTGGATGCCTCCTCGCGTGAGCATTTATGATAGCCGCGCAAGAGTTTCGGCAGCTCCTGGTGATAGTGAAAGATTAGATCAGCATTGCGATCCTTGCCTGGCACCGTGTTCGTCCATAATTTCTTCATGAAAAACACCTGATAGGTGAACTGTGGATTGGCGCCATCGCGTATTGGTCGTGCCTTCTTTATCCAGTCGGTCAGATGGCGTACGAAATCAAAAAAGAAATCACCCTCTGGCACCGAAATCACCTTATCGGCAATTTTCACGAACAGCGAGAAGCCTTCGCTGGTGCGCAACGATAAGCGTTGCGAGATATTGTTGCAAAAGTCCTTGGCGCGCGTGGATGAGTCCACTTCGAACGCCTCATCGGTGTCATCCGGGAAGTAGACCTTGTGAAAGATTTGCGTTGTCTTATGCTGTATGGCCTCCACCTCCACCTGATGCGGCGGATACTTGCGCTGTCCGTGTCGTATGGTCTTCTGTAATCGATGCATCGAGTCCTGTGAGATGGGATGACGGCGTGTGCGCAAAAATAGCAGGAGCTCCTTAAGCAAACCCTGCGAGCAGGCAAAGAGACCAGTTGCCAGCCACATCAGCTCCCATCCACGCTCCTCGGACATGCGATTGCGATTGTCTGTCAGCTGCTTCATCAGCTGGCAATAGATTTCGTCGCGCAATATCTCATGCTTGAGCGGACCGTCGAATATGTGATCGGTGATTTCGTTGCCCATGCGCGGCCGTTTCGATGGCAAATCGCCCATGTATTTGAGTATGGCAGCAAAGGCGAAGCATGCCTCCTCCACAAGCTCCTCCTTGCTCTGCAGCTTGCGTAACAACGGCGCCTTAATCGGATCCCTGGAATAGCGCCACAATTCCTCGCTGCGCTTCGAGCTGAGCGTCAACGTCTTCGACATTGTTCGCTTGGGTGGCAAACGGAAATGATCCAGGGCGTATTCCATGAGCGTGTGCGGACGATCGCGTGGCTCTACGACGCCACCATTCGATACCATGCTTAGGCGGCGACCATGATGCGCCTCCTCGATGTTGAACAAGGCCAATATATCCTGCGGCGGCTTGCTCAGCGTGGGCAGCACATAAACCGTTTCGGCTGGAAAATCGCCACGTTCCTGCGTACGATCGCAGCGGCCGATGCACCAGCCATTGTTCAGCACGGACTCGCCGCACGACTCATCCTCCAGGATGATCAGATCGCCTTTGAAGAACGACAAGAAACTGGTGCTGTCCGAGGGTGCACGATAATCCTGCAGCGCAATCACATATTTCGAGCTGCAAATGAGAGGAAAATTTAGATTATTTAAAGTGGAATTGAGAGTAGAAATGACTCCATGCGCACCGCTTCTTGAGACCATCCAAAAAGTAGACGACAAGGTCGCGTATATCCTCAGCGTTTGGACTCTGGAATGTGAACTCCTCGCCGCGCACTGTTGACAGGCTGAAGGTCTGGGTGAACACCTTGTTTGTCTTCTGGCTGGCCACCGCTGTGATCTCCGGGAAGCTTAGCTCGAGCAGCACCTGCTCCTGATCATCGACGACATAGACGCCCGTCCAGTTGACGGCTATGATGACATCATTTTTGGGTAAATTTGGTCCAGAATTGCGATACGCTTCGTAGAAGCGTGAGAAGAGCAACGGCCATTTGTATTTAGCATAGCTAACGATATCTTCCTTAATCTTGAGCGGCGCTATCTTATCCTTCACATAGTAGGATTTCTTATAGGCCTGCAGCACAAGGGCCGCCCAACGCTCGATGGCCTTGTCCACGCCGCTGAGACAAAAGTCGGGTATGAAATTGGGCAGCAGCGTGAACAGTCGCTCCATGGACATGTCTGTGCCATATTCGATGAAATACTGCTGGGCAGCTATCATGGCCAGATCCTCCTCCTTGTCGCAACGGTATTCACCGAACTTAACACCGCGCACCACCTGCTGATAGATGAGATTTGTGGCCACCTGATCGGTGGTTGGCTCGTGCCACGGCGCAAAGATCTCCTTGCGGAAGAATAGACGCCACGGTGCATTGCGCTCCTGGGCGCCCTGCTCCTTGGCATATTGTTCGCACTGTGATATGGCGTCCATCACATGATCACCGCCGCTGCCCAACGAGCTGACCTTGTCAAACAGCGCAATATAGAGCGAGAAGCCGAACTGATCCTTGAGCGTGATCTTCTCCGACAGCTGATTGCACAGTTCGCGCGCTGTCGTCGCCGAATCGGCTAGCAGTGTCTTCGTATTGCCATCCATAAACGTGATGGGCAGCATGATGGGCTTCTTCGATTTGGTCGCCTGCAGCTCCAGCCATGACGGCGGCTGATTTCGCGTGCCATTGTTAAAGGTGCGCTTCAAGCGCTCCTCACAGTACGGCGCATAGCCGGGCGGCCCCTCCCTAATGAACGCCCTCAAGTAGTTGACAAACTTCTCCGACGGCGCAAAGCAGCCGACGCACAACGACAACAATATCCAGCCGCGTGCATGCGACGACTTCAAGGGATTGTTGGTCAATTGTTTGCATATCTGGCAATAGATTTCGTCGCGCAACTCAGCACGCAATATGCCATGGCCGATGATGAAGTGCAGCTTCTCCAGATTCGATGTGGGACGCGATTGCAGCCACGACTGGTAGCTATCGGCCGTGTATTCATCATCCTGCAGTCGTCGGCGTACATCCTCGCCCAATTTGTTCTTGCGCTTCAGTGTCAGCGAGACGAGCTTGTGGCGTATCGAGCGCGGCTTTTGCTTCAGAAATGCCTCCGGATCGAGGCCCATTAGTTGAGCTTCCTGGAATTCCTGGAATCGAGCAATAATTAATCTATCTATTTCCAAATCTCTGCATTCCATTCCAACACCCACTCACCTTGCTGCGTATAAAGTTCCGGCCGAGCGTCGCCGTCACCTTGGACATGACCGACGTGGTGTCCATGCGGTCCATGGTATGATATTTGGGCTCCTGCATGTCGCCAGTGAAACGCAAGATGGTTATCCACAGCGCCTGCGCGGCCAATTGATCGCCCTGGGTGTGCAGCGGCAGGAGCGGATGCTTCAGTGCCTTCTTCGCATACTGATGATTCACATTGCCCTGGAAGTAGGTGGCCGCGAATTTCTGAAACTTATATTCCGATAAATCCTCCTCGTCCTCGGAGATGTGCATTGGCGTGATGATGTCATCCTGATTGATAGTCTGCGCATGCGGCAGATCATTGAACACGGACGTCTCGCGGCCGCCATGCGGTGTGGGCGCAT